TAATACCAACATACATAAACATAACCGCATGCCCACATACACATATACACACAAATACACATACACACACACGTACATATACAAATATGCACGCATACATACATAAATACATACACGATACACGCATACATTCACACATATCCACACAGACCTGTATACATATCCACTACATAAGCAGATAGAGAAACAAACAAAAACATGAAATGCATATATATATATGCAAGTACACGTACAAACACACATACACACATATATAAAGTACCACACACACTCGTGTATTCATATAGATACAAAGAGCTTGAGGCCTACACATATCCACGCACATACTCGTACAGGCACGGGGTGTGCCAGCTGCTTCTTGCCCGAGAGCGTGGACGTCTTCCCGGAAAGCTTTAACGTTTTGTGTGAGTGTCTGGCCAGTGTTGTGGGTGGTGCCTGGTTCTCCTTACCCGTTGCGTTAGGATTGCTTTCTGCAACGACGGGTTTGCACATCACCTTCATGCCCTTTTTGGCGAAGTTGAGTGTCGAGAAGGTGTCCTGTTTTGGGTTTTAGTTGTGTTAGTTGTGTGGGATGGGTGCCTGGCATACTGGTAAAACCCTAAATCCCTTGTGTGGTAGACGTGAGGTTCGGAATGTACCCTGTGTCTGTGGGTTGTGCCCATTTGACATTTCTGTGATATAAAAAGTATCTAAAACGTAAACCGTATCATGTGCGTGTGATTTGTATTCATCTGACATTTCTATGTGATAAAAATAATCATTAAAAACGGAAAACGTATCCTGTGTCTATGGTTTGATTCCATCTGTCATTTGCGTGTGTAATAGATAGCGTCTCAAATATAAAACGTATCCTGTCGGTTGTTTGTTTCCATCTGTCAGCCGTATGCGATAACAACATACTTAACACTTTGTTCAGCGTCACAAAGGGTTTAAGTAATAGAGTTTAAGTTAAGGGTTTAGGGTTTAAGTTTATAGTTTAGGGTTTAGAGTTTAGAGTTTGCAAAAGCATGATGTGTGTGTATTGGCTGTGGGTCGTTGGCTTTTTGTCTTCAGAGTGCTTGTGTCATGGTCGTATGTTTCTATTGCATTCTCCGTCTCACTACAAACGTTGGTCATAGTTACTGTGGTGCCGTGTCAGCTGTGTGCAATGCGACATACACACCCATATTTCCCATACCCTCACTTAAGCATTCAAGCATGGCTAGTTACAACCCCGAAGTAGGAGCGTGCAGGGTAGATGTGTATACCCTCAGTTAATATATATATTTACATATATATATATATATATATGTGTGTGTGTGTGTGTGTGGTGGGTGGGTGGGTGTGTACATATATATGTGCATATACACTGGTATGACCATGACAATAGCTGGTGAGTGAGTGGGTGAGAGTGGGTACAATGGGACATACATGGTAGTTGTTCTGCGCCACATTTGCGAATAGGCACGAGTAGCTGTTACCCCCGAGACAGTCCTTGAGCATTCGTGTGAGACAGCTTTGTCGGTAATTGGGATATGCCTGTTGAAAAGTGAAACGGAAAATAAAATAAGGAATTGAAAGTTAAATGTAAAATATAAGTAAAATGTAGAATTTAAGTTAAAATGTGAAATACAAGCTAATGTGTGCAATTTAAATTGAAATGTAAACTACAAGCACGTAAAATTCATGTTCAAAAGTGGAATATAAGTTTAAATGTGGAATATGAGTCAATATGTGGAATTCAAGATGTAAGTGTGAACTGTGGCAATTGCATCTGGAAAATCGGGAATGGGAATAGGAATAGAGGCATGACACAAATTCGGATAGACTTTATTGATATCTGAACGATTGTACAACATTCGCAGATGTGTGCCAAAGAAAACCATCATATTGTGGTAAGAACATGTGTGGATAGCAAATACCAAAAAAGACTAACCTATTCTAAAGAAAGACTAACTTATTCTAAAGTAGGCTAACCAATTCTACAGAAGACTGGCCTTTTGTGGTACGAAATGCACACCAGCACAACACCACACCCTCACGTCTACACCATGCATGCACAGGGGGCCACACGACAGGCACTATCCGTCAACACCCTCACGTCTTCGGAATACCAACACATATTGCTTAATGGTAATGGAAGTAACACACAAGAAACACTTACTGCTGACGGGGATAAACTCATACGAAACACTTATTGCTGAAGATCGATGATGTAACACATGTACACATAACATACGTGGAGGATATTGATCGGTAATCACGCCACACTCAATAAGTTTTGGGGATGGGTTTAGGGTTTTAGGGTTTAGGGTTTAGGGTTTTAACCCCTTACATGTGCACGTGCAGGGGAGCTCATCTCACCTTCTTGTTGAGCTGTGTGACGAGGTTGTTCAGCGCCAGCAGTGACTTGTTGATGTTGCCGCTTTCCCGCATGCGATCGCCCTGAGGTTAGACAATCAGGGTTTAGGTTTTAGGGTTTTAGGGTTTTAGACAATCAAACCATCCGAGCCGGTGGGAGGATGGACCAATGCATTGGAGAAAGAATAAGACCACACAGAGCATGAGTGGCTATACCAAGACCACGGGTCAGATGACGAGGAACATATTTCAAAGACATAAACACACTTATATAACACAACCCAACCACAAAATCAAACCAACCTAAATTAAACCAACCCAAAACTTCCCAAACCAACCTAAACCAACTCAAACCAACCCAAGCCAGACCCAAAACAACTCAAATCAAACCAAACGGTTGAATCGGACAATGTTGGTAACAGTAGTGGCACGGTAGAGGCGGTAAGGGATGCTTATAATTTTCTCTGAGCGACAGATTGGTATGCTTGGGTCTTATTTATATGTACTATAACTGACATTGGTGTGTGTGGTCGAGAGGCGGTAACGGATGCTTAAAAGCCCCTCTGAGCGACTGATTGGTATGCTTGGGTCTTATTTGTATGTACTACAACTGGCATTGGTGTGTATTGTTAATATTGAGAAGCGATCGGAAGGTGTTGTCTGCTGAATATCGACATGAACAACCAAAGGGGCACGGGTTGCAATCTCCGGTAAAACAAAACACACCCAGCACCCACTCTGTGACAGCTCCCATTCCTAACAATAGCACAATGTGACGCCTACCCATTCTAAATATAGCAGCCAATCGTCTGCCGCCGTTACATGTATTGCACTTCACAACAACCTCGTTCTATTTATAGAACTCGGTACACACCATATTCCCGGTCCTCCGGTTGTCTTCAGAGCCCGCCAAATCCACAAAGGTCAGTTTGCCTCTATACACCCTGCCGGATGACTTCTCTGTGCGATCCACCTGAGGAAATAGTAAACAGTTAATTCCCCACATGTGTGACGGAATAAGCTTGAAGACAAAATGGCTGACGGAATAAGCTTGAAGACAGAAACCAGTGACGGAATAAGCCTGAAGAAAAAATAAGTGACGGAATAAGCCTGAAGAAAAAATAAGTGACGGATTAAGCTTGAAGACAAAAAACGAGTGACGGAATAAGCCTGAAGACAAAAAAGAGTGACGGAATAAGCCTGAAGACAGTGCTAGGATTCGTGGGGTGTGTCTTGCCTTTCAAGACATCGTGGGGTGTACATAGATGTACCATGCCATAGCCTTCTGTCTATTTAGAAGGCTATGGCCACGCCCTTTCCTTCGCATGATTACTCTGTGCGACTAACCTGTGCAACCACGAGCCTCTCAGACAATCCACTTCACGTAGATGACCAATTGTAGATAGGTATTATGAGCCTGACCGAGAGTGTTTATCTTATGCCTATGTACCCCAACATATCATGGGGTTCTAAAATTAACTGCACAGGGTTTAAAAAATACCTACACTGGGCTCTAAAAATAACTGCACAGGGTTCTAAAAATAGCCACACATGGTTCTAAAAATAGCCACACCTACCGTTAAGAGCAGCAAGAAGTGTGACCGAGAGGACGCTTGGTTGAGTAGCGTAGGGGCCACCTTGCGATTGTTCATAGCGCTCTCATACAGCGACAGAAACTCGTCGAATGTGGAGATCCACTTCTTTGTGAGTCCTGGGACATGCACCTGCCCTTTATCGTCTTGGCGCACCGGTAGACCTGTAGCAGTGGTTGAGTTGATTAGAGTTGTTATTCAGTGTGTGGTGTGTATATGGCTGTATTGTAAACCATGTATGCATGCGCAGTCTCTGGTGATAATATGAGATGAGTTGTTGTTGAGTGTTCATATATAGCTGTATTGTTAACCATGTATGCATACGCAGTCTCTGGTGATATTATGACATAAGTTGTTGTTGAGTGTTCATATATAATTGTGTTGTTAACCATGTATGCATACGCAGTCTATGGTGATATTATGAGATAGGTTGTTGTTGAGTGTTCATATATAGCTGTATTGTTAACCATGTATGCACACGCAGTCTCTGGTGATAGTATGAGATAGGTTGTTGTTGAGTGTTCATATATATTTGTATTGTTAACCATGTATGCATACGCAGTCTGGTGATATTATGAGATAGGTTGCTGTTGAGTGTTCATATATAGCTTAATTGTTAACCATATATGCATACGCAGTCTTGTTGTTGAATGCTATTGTTAACCATGTATGTGTGCGCAGTCTCGGGCGATGATGCGAGACATGTGTGTATGTAGGGACTCGCCATAGCGGAGATGCACTTTTTGGTTAAACCGATGTACACATCTGTCCTTCTGCCGGTTTAATGTACAGGACGACATGTGATAGCGCTTACAGTTACGTTCCAGTATGTATATACGCTATATTCTCCAATGTATATGCATACACAACTTACTATGAAGTGTACATGTAGGGGCGAACACATAGTGGTGAGTCCAGGGGCATGCACCTGTCCCTTGTCTTTCTGGTGTACATGTACACCGAAGTGAATTTGTAATATATATAT